ATCTATCTATCTATCTATCCAATAGTCTATCTATCTACTTACCTACCTATATACCTATCTACCTATCTATCTATTTATCTATCTATCCAAATGTGTATTCTTTGTTTTTACATGTTCGTTTACCCATATACGCATGCACTCAAATAAGGGTAAGTAGATTGTCATGCAGCAAGATTGAGCAAATCATTATATACTTCCTTTAGTTGTGTGATTCCTTGTAGCAGTTGCTTGTATGGTATGACAGGCATGGATGAGGCCGAACTGAATGAGAAAGTCTCGTAGACTAATTCACCCAAGGCAGCATAGTCATATTGAACGACGGAAGAGCCGTCGTCTGCTGACGAATCTCTTCATTCTGAACCACAACAAAGCTATATTAGGAGACATCTCATCCACCCAGTTTCTTTTGTGATTGAGTCGTTGAGAGAAGTGGAAACTACAATCAAGGTTTGGGTTGGAGGCCAGGTCTGGAATACAAAGTTGGATTGTTCCCTTTCAGTAGAGCTCAGCCAGCCACTCGGTGGGAGCCGGATTGGAGTTGTCCGAGGGCACCGAGCCTCGTCGGGGTACCACTGCTCCGACAACCGCCAAAGCTTTTGGCGTCACAGCCAAATCTCACCTTTCACTTGTCCAGTCGGCAATCAATCGCTGGCCGAGGGCCAGGGGTAAAGTCTACGAAAGTATCGGTGATCAGATGAACAGCTCGTTTGACAATGACCTGAGCTCGCGGTTAGTGCATGTGGCAAAATTGGGCAAAATTAGGCGAAATTGGGCAGAAGACGTGCAAAATGCTGGCCATCCAGGCTGGGGGCTGCCAGAAGCGAGGCAAGGTAGATGCTTTTCAACTGATAACGAAGACTGGCCAGTCTTCCAGCAACCAGTTGCAGCTTCTTTAAGTGGCAATAAATGGCAGAAAGGAGGTACTCAGTGGCCGTGTTGCCCGGCCATAAATTATCTTAAATGCTTCGCCCCTCTGGCAAGTAAGTCTGTTCTGCGGTCAAATTAAAGGCTCTTTTTGCAGTTTACCTCCCAAGGCAAGGCATAAACTTGACTGATTTTTGTGACTCGACTTTTCATTTCATGTTAAAAGTTGATTGGATGGCTTTCGTGAATTGGTCTTGTCGGAAGCCGTGAAGCGTAAGCAATCGGAGTGTGCGAACAATTTGTCGAAGTTTGTGTCAACTGAAATTGTATCATTTATGCAGATTTAGCAAATTTATAAAACAAGCAAAGAAGGCGTCTCAGATCACAATTACATTTAAGGCTTAATTGTGCAATATTAATTAGGCTTTGCGAGAATTATTGAAGCTGTGAATGTGTTTGCACCTTTAAATCTAAACTGCTTTTGGGTGTATAGTTGCATGTATGGTGTGTGTGTGTGTGTGAAATGCCTATGAATCCGATGACTTTAGGCCACTCAAACAATACCAGTCGTCCTGCTCTATCTTCCTCTTCCTAACTCAACTCAAATTTGTGATATGCATTCACCCCACTCCGTTTAAAGTGATGAAGGACTGATAGTCGGATTTACCCACAATCATATAAGATGTCTGTCACATAGTCTCGCTTTCCAAAATGTCGACTGCAGTTTCGACCTCGCCTAGGTCTTATCAACACCCACAATGGGACTCGAACTATGACCGTGGAGAGTTTAATCTCGACACGTCAATCACTTCGCCACAAATTGCCACGAGTGCGCTTTGGTCATAGGACAGATGTGAATTTCAACGGAGGCCGGACAATTTCCCACATCACATTCGGTGGTGGGATTGCCGATAAGGCAAAGTCATGCTACTGATTTACGGGTAGTCTCCAAACTGTAATTACATAACAAAATTAAGTAACGTAGCGAATATACATTTACTTCATCGGCAATCACACCAAAAAATGTGATATGGCAAAAGGCCTGGCCTTCCTTCAAATGAACATGTGCACTCGTGACAATGTGGCCGAGTTGTGAACGCGTTAAGCTCACATGCTGTACTGTCACGGTTCGACTCCCGCTGGGAGTGTTGATAAGACCTGAGCGAAGTCGAAACTGCAGTCCACTGGTGCCTGGAT